TCGTCGCACCAGGTGGCCAATGCCAGCTCTTGGCCTCCGAAGTTGCTGAACCTCGGCGGGAATATATTCCTACGCTTGCTGAAGGCCCGCGGATCCCAGAGGCCGAAGGGAGACTTGACCAAACTTCTTCCGCGAGAGTCCTTGTTCATGGGCAAGCTAGTGGAAGCCTCGAAGACCGTAGCGCCGTTCCTTCGGACAGTCTGAAGGGCAAAGATGAACTCAGATCGCTGGACGGTCGGGTGCCCAAGGATTCTGGTCATGTTGGCCTCAGCACTGAGGCAAACGAGGACCAGATGCGTCGGATCCCACGCATGGCCAGCGCCGAGGGCGTCGAGAAGAACGAGCGGTTCCTCAAAGAAAACGACAACGGGCGTGACCACGGAGCCGGACGTAACCCAGCGCGGGTAAGGCTCTGAGAGAAAGCGATCGTGTGTCGAGCTGAGTGTGGACGCCACAGGACGTTGCAGGACGTACGTAGAGGTCGGCCTCCACACTCGTTCGGCCTTCGAGTCCATCAAGAAGAACAGATTGTCCTCGCGCAGAGGTCCGCTCACCAGCTGCGTTAGAGTCTCTTGTATAACCTCACCGTTATTCTCAAATCCTGGGTGAGGGTAAAGTGTAAAGTATTTCTTTCAGTATAAACAAATCATTTTACTCCACAGACAATGATAATTATGATGAAGGTAATGCTAATGGCCCTGATAACAACGCTTTTAATAGTGATAAGGACAGAAGTTATACAATAGCAATAACAGTGTTAATGAATGATTATTACTGTAATAATAACAATAATAAAAGTGGTGAAGATAATGTTGACAATGACAGTAATGATGATAATAATGATAATGATAATAATGATAATAATGATAAAAATAATAATAACAACAACAACAACAACAATAATAATGATAATAATAATAATAATAATAATAATAATAATAATGATAATAATAATAATAATGATAATAATAAGGATGAAATAGTAATAGTAATAATAATAAGGATGATAATAATAATAATGATGATAATAATAATAATGATGATAATAATATCAATAATGATGATAATAGTAATGATGATGATAATCATAATAATGGTAATAATAATCATAATAATAATAGTTCTAATGATGAATAGATATTATGATGATGTTATTACTCCTAATAATAAATATAATATTAGTAACAATGATAATAATGATAGTACTTGTTAATGATAATATTACTAATATAGATAATAATGATAATGGTAATAATAATAGTAATAGTGATAACAATAATGATTATGCCAATAATTATGATGATGATAATAATAACAATGATAATGATAATGATAGTAATGCTAAATATAATAATGATAATGATAATGATAGCAAAGATGATGATGATAATTATAAAAGATAATATTAATAATAATAATACTGATAGTTATAATAATGATGATGACAATAATGATAATGATGATAATAATGATAATAATGATAAAATAATAATAATAATAATAGTAGGAATAATGATGATGATGATAAAGATAGTAATGATAATAAATATAATAATGGTAATGATAATGATAATGATAATGATATTTGATAATGATAATGATAATGATATTTGATAATGATAATGATAATGAAAATAATGATAATAATAGCGATGATAATAATGATAGTAGTAATAATGGTGATTATAATAATAAGAATAACTGCAATAATAATGACAATAATGATGTTAATGACAAAGAGAGTAATGACAATAATGATTCTGATAATAGGGATAATATTAATGGTAATAGCGGTAATGTTGATTGCAACTACAACAACAACAAGATAATGAAAACAATGTTTATGATAACTGTGAATATATGTATGTTGACAGTATATATATAAACAAATTCTTTCAAATATGATTCTTTATTGGAATAGCGAACTCGCAAAGTAATCACTACCTCACTGATATTTAATCTACTTCAAAGTTAGCCACCCTTTCCGCTGAATTACGCGAGGAAGGCGGATTAGCATCCCTGACATCCTAGCCCTTAGATGTACATTTATTTTGTAGTTAATGCAGTCACATCATATCAGGCTGTGCTTGCGTGAGGTGACATATCTTCTCTGTCACTTAGCTAGCCCGTGGATCATCGTGTCTGGCTGATAGTCACATATCTTGCCTAATATTGTGATAACTTTGTGTCCCTCTTGATCTATAGTGTTTTAGCTTATACTGCAGTGTTTTGAATTGTTATAAAGCGTAAATTCCTGTACTGTTCGTCTGGAGGCCACTGTCCTTTGTGTGTGGGGTTTTCTCTATGTATCACACCCATCGCAATAAATAACAATAATGACGATGAATGGCAATGGATAAATTAAAAGATTAGCAATGATAGTAATAATAGTAGCAATAATTACAACAACAACAACATAAAAAGACAACTCACTTGGTACAAACGAGGCTCCTGCTAACAGACAGAAATAGAAGGCAAACAGCAGAGTAAACCCAGCCAT